CAGTGAGCCGTTAGGGAACACCACGTTTGTCACATTGGGCTGACGGCCCCCGTAGTAGAAATTGGTGGCCTCGACGGCCTTCTCGATGGTTTGGGCCGTGATTTGCGGACCGAATATATCGGTGCACCGTTTCGTGAAGAACTCGATCGGACGGTTGTGCCCAAACGGACTGTCCTTCAGACTAGTGGTCTGGTAGTACCCAAACTCAGTGCACGTCTGATACGTCCATTGCCTCGCTGCATGTAAATGTGTATCAAATTAGTGTTAATTTAACTAATAGTTAACTAATAAACCAAAATGTATCAAAACGCTAATCTAATCTCGAAAGGTTTCCTAATAATTAGAATAATTTAAAAATTTGCATCAAGCTTAATACAGTATAAGTTATACTTTATATTAAAATATATTTTTATCTTAGTTTCAGATTCTTTATGATTTCATTATGTACTAGAAATTAGTACACAATTTGTGTGAAATTATGTGTCAATAGATTATACGAAGGATGACATACTTCCCGATGAGACGTACGGCGACTCTTTAGACGTTTGTTTCATAGCACTAATCATTTTCTTGTAGTTAAAGTTAATGCATCCGCTGTGATGAGCTGCCTGTGCCTTCGCATACCTGTCCAGAGCACGGGCCCCACCACTCGGGTCCGTCACCAGCTTACAAAAGTCCTTAATATTTCTGTTATACTGAACAATAACCGCGACTGCATTCGTCAGACTCCCGACAAAGTTGTGTATGTCGTCGGTGTCGGCGCCCTCTAAGGAGTCGCACAGTTTGAACAGTTTCTTGAGCTCTTCCCGGCCGGCAGTAGTCTTCAGATCCTCCTCCAACTGCTGCGAGGCTTCCCTTCAATAGGCAAACATCAGTGTTAAGGACAAGGCTGTAGTGATTAGATACCGGCGCCACCCTATCATACCTGATGCTGTCGGAGCACTCCTTTCCCAGCGACTGACTAACGACACCCANCCAACTGCTGCGAGGCTTCCCTTCAATAGGCAAACATCAGTGTTAAGGACAAGGCTGTAGTGATTAGATACCGGCGCCACCCTATCATACCTGATGCTGTCGGAGCACTCCTTTCCCAGTGACTGACTAACGACTCCCAAGTAGTCCTTGAAATCAACGACTGCCTCGACAGGACCGCTGGACGCTATGGCACCGGCAGCTGTTTTCGGGTACTTCTCCCGGAACCAAGCGGCCATCGCACCGGCATACGAGCCCCCGAACACAATGACCTTGGCATTCTCAATGGACTTCTGTTTGAGCAAATACTGTATGAACTCATCGGCGTCTTTGAGGGCCTGTTCGCTGTTCAGGTGTTTCAGGTTATCGACGGTTAGCTCCGCGAAGGGTTGGGACTCCCCGTAGAACCGGTGCTCCAACTCGACGAGTAGAGCGCCGTACTTCTTGGCGTTGTCCGCCATATTACTGTTGGTCAACCAAGCTGAGCTGGCTGCCCCCTCGCCGCCAAACATGAAAAATACGGGACCACCCGCTTTGTAGTGGGCGTCGCTCGTGAAGTACACCTAATTGGGGCCAGAATTGGCTCATTATGTTGTGATTAAGTGTAAGAATTTGTGTAAACAATTCAACAGCATTTAGCTCTGCTTTTAAAATCACTTTTCAAAATTATTTAGCACTAATGTATCTTGGTCATATTGAAACTTGAGTTGATAGGTAACTTTGGTCTACTTACTGTGGATATATTAGTACTTGTGCAAGATTTATTTAGTCATTGGTGTTTAATTACTCATAGAATACTATTATATAATAAGTATAGAATATAGAATTGGTATTTAAGTTTAGTTAAGTATTTAGTTTAGTATTGAATTTAAGTTAAGTTAATTAATAATCAATTAATTTTAGGACAATTAGTTTAAATATGTGCAGTAAAATAAATTATATTTAAATAGCAATTATACCTGGTCAAAAGTGCTGTTGTCTTTGGGATCAGCATGGTTGACTTTTTGTTTATAGATACCCGATACGGCGCTTTTAAAAAACTGTCCATCAACGGGAACTGGAGGTCTGACCATT